GGATCCCCTCCGCCCACCCTCTGCCAGCTGCTCGAGGCCGTACGCCGTCACCCGCAGCGTCACCGGCCTCCACTTAGCGCCGTCCCAGGCCAGGCCCCGGAAGTCCTGGGGGCTCCTGGGCCGCAAAAGAAACCAGGGAATGGGCGGGGATTCGAAACCACGTCGGGTGCGGCGGCGGGGCTGAGCGCAGGGGGGCGCCCAAAGATGGGCGCGGCCGCGGCCGCGGCACCCCGGGGCCGCCGGCAGCGGGGTGAGCTGACACCACCCGCCGCTGTGCGGGCGTCCAGCGGCCCATTCACTCCCTGGCGCCCCGCCTGTGCCCTGGCGGTCAGCCGCCCGCTGCCAGAGGCCTGCGTCCGTTTTCGATCGGTGGCGCCCGCGCGTTGCCCACCCCAGGATTTTGAGGGCAACCGAGCACTTGGCCAGCGCGCCCGCGGCCGCCATTGCTTGGTACAGGTCTGTCAGCAGCATGGCCCTGTGAACACAGCTGAGCTTCAGGGGCTTGTGCTTGCCCTGGCAGCAATGATGGGGATCGGGGGCGGCGCGGGCTCCGGTCACGGCGGGAGACGGGGGTTCTGGGCTTTGCGCAGAGTGGTGTTTCGAGGCGCTCAGTCGCGGGATGGACGCCTCGCTGCTCCTTCCGCATCAACGCACTAACCCTCCCGGCTGCAGGGGCTGCTGCCTCCCCTTTGCCGCCGCCCATCGCCGCCGCCGCCCAACGTGATGGCAACAAGCGCGGTAGCGACCGCGGATTGGCGACGAGCGGCGGGGGGCCAGGCGCCCGCACCTTGCCGTCGTGCCGAGCGCTGAGCGTGAACTCTTGGTCGTCTGTCCCCAGGGCGATGCTGTCGATGTCAGACTCGCCGCCCTGCAATGGCACAAGCAACGGCGTCAGCCTGTGCAAGAGCGGAGCGCCGAGGCCCGAAGGCCTAGGCGCCGCGTGCGCCCGCATGGGGCCGATGGCGGAGCGCATGGCCCCCACTGAGGGTTGCTCGAAAGCGGGCGCCGCTGCATTGGCTGTGGTGCGCGCATGCCGGAGTCCACGCACGCCGCGCCGCGTCCCGCTCGCACCCCTGCGAAGACGTAGCTGTTCGTGACGACCAACCGCCCCTCCGGATTCTGCGTGTGCAGCGCGCTGGGCGTGATGCACAAGATGCGCTTGTATCTGCCGCGCCATGAGTGCTTGACGACGACGTAGCGCGCGATGCAGTCGGGAGGCTTCAGCTCCGGGCGCGGCTTCAGCCCCGAAAGCAGTCGGTCCATGGTCGGTGAGCGTCACGCGCTGCTATCGAACGCTGCGCTTGAGCGCTTCGCACTATCGCGTCAATGCATTGAATCCCAGGCTTGTGCTCTGATGTTGCAGCTCAAAGTAGAGAACGTGTGCATGAGCTGGCTGATCTTGGATCGTTCAGGACAGGGGGTCAAAGGGTTGGTATCATATACATGAGCTTATGAAGCTAAGTATGTGGCAACGACTTCCGCTTCTGCCCTTCTCTGTCACGAAAGAGACTGGTGCCAACTGTAACCCGCTTTTGAGGCCGTCGTCGTACCAGCCTACCATGCAGTGGTTAACGTACGTTGAACGCAATTGGACAATTTAGCCGGTACGGTTTCCTTCGGGCAGATCACCCCTGCGCACATCACCGCAGTCCGCTTGGTAGGTCACAGGCAGCAAAAGAAGCAGCGTGTACCTCATACGTGTGTGTTGTGGGACTCTAGCTGTGGCTGTGGACAACTGCAGCAGGCCCTGCTGCGCGCTGCATGTGCCGCCGTCGTCGCGCTGTGCTTGCTAGCAAACACAGGCAATGCGCTAACCTGGGCGTCGTTTTGCTGAACGCAGGTCACACAGCACAACGTCTTGCCGTTTACGGAGCCGGCAGACCTTCTCCGCCAGCGTCACAAGGCACCCAGCGGCGCCAGGCGCACCTCCAAGGAGCACTCTTCAATATGGAGATGCACCACAAGCTGCGGCGCGACCCCACGTGGGATCCAAGGGGTTGCAACCTTTGCGGACAGGTAGATGTCTGGATTCGTGGTGTAGAACACAACGTTCAGTCGCAGCGGTGGCAACTTCAGGGGTGAAACGCAGCCGCAGCAGCAGAGGCAGCAGCAGCAACCGCAGCAGCAGCAGCAGCAGCTATAGCAGCAGCGGTAGGAGCAGCGGCAGCAGCGGCAGCAGCGGCAGCAGCGGCAGCAGCAGCAGCAGCAGCACGGTGGGGGACACAGGCAGGAAGTTTGAGGCATGCACCTTGCTCCTTCGCACTTTACTTTGATTCAAAGAGCGGTTTGATGGGCTCGTTGCGCATTTCTGAGTGTCGCCACCGCCGCTAGGGGGTTCACACATGCTAAACCCTCCACCATTCACCCCCCTTCCCTCCACCCTGCCACCTTGACCCGCCGCAGCTCGGCCACATGGCCGCCTTGTGCCCCAACGGCACCGTGAACTGGAAGCAGATCTACGGGGAGGAGGCATTCCTGATGCGGCCGCCCATCTACGAGAGCGACCTGCGTGAGAAGCGGAAGGCTCACGAGTTTGACCTGACTGACATTGAGAAGCGCGCACGGGACTTTGCGCAGGTGAGCGCGCCGTGGACCCATGGGCCTGTGTGGCAACAATGGCTGGTCTGTGGTGGGCAGGATGCCGAGGCGATGAGGCACCTGCAGCAGCCTGAAAGGCGGACTCTTGTATATACAGGTCCGTGCTCGGGCGGCTGTGCTTCTGCTCAGTTGTCTAGCCGACCCCATCGCGCGCACCGCTTTCCGTCCACCGCTCTCAGCGGCAGGCAGAGGTGTTGGCGCAGCAACCGGCGGTCGCCGCCCCAGCAGCGGCGGGCGCGGCGGCTGGTGGCGCTGCAGCGGCGGCGACGCCGGCGGGGGCGGCGCCGCAGTTGCCGCCTGACTGGGCTGTTGCTCACGACGCTGCGGGCAAGGTGCGTTCATTGGCCTGGCTGCAATTCAAGCCGAAGGGGCTGGATGGCGTTTGGAGAAAAGAGCCTCAGCGCTCGTCAGCACAGGCGCAGGAGCTGTGCAGCAGATTGTCTCTGGGCAACTTGGCCAAGGTCTGCGTTGCACGCGTCTGCGCACCAAACGTATTGCTCTTCCGTGCCTCTCCACTGCACCACAGCCGTACTACTGGAACAAGGCCACGCGCGTCACCACCTGGTCCTTGGAGGTTAGTGGGGGAACCTGACTGCCCGCAGGGCGCCGCTGACAACGGGTGACGGCGGCACGCTGGCTATGGGCGTGGGCCTGGTGTAATCTGCTGCGTTGCACAACACTTGTTCTCCCTGCACGTCACACGCCGCAGGAGGTCATGAAGTCAGCTCCTGCCCCGGCGGCAGCTGCAGGGCTGCCACCGGCAGCTGCGGCGGCAGCAGCCAGTGCGCCAGCCGAGGCTGCTGGGGGTGCGGCGCCCGTCTAGCTGCTCGCCGGCTGATTCCTCACGGGTTGATGTTGCCTTGTCCACGTGGGTGTGGATGGTGACAGTGTAAAGAGGAAGGAAAACAGGCAGCCTGCCCAGTGATGATCGGACACTCCCCTGTGGCGTTGGTGTGCCGGCGGGGAAGTGGTTGCGGATCGCGCACCACTGTAAAGTTTGTGATTGTGCGATCCAGAGAGACCACCTCAACATGCATATCACTGAACAAACAGGTGCCTCCATACAAGACTCCGCTCGGAATCCCATCGAAAGACCTTAGGTCGTGTCAGAACCACGTCGCAGCCCAACAATATTGAATATTTGAAGTTCTGTGTCAGTCGTGTTTTGGTTTGAGTCCTCTGTCAGCCAATCTTGTTGCTAGGCCCCTTCCGAGGGCGCCTCCCGCCGTTGCGCGCGCTCAGGAGGTAAAAGATAATAGCACATATCAGACTGGGGTGTTCAAGCTCGACACCGGCGGTCCAGGGCGGGGGTGACGCTCCAGACACACCGTAAGTCGTGCCACGGGGCGCCTGAAGCAGACGGCTTTGACACGCAGGGTTTATACCAGCGGCCCTGTAGCTATGGAGCGACTTAGCTCGGCCGCTGCCCCTCGCAGGCTGAGCAGACGCTACGATGTGAAAGGCCAGGCCGCGGCAGTGGGGCCCGCTAATGGCCAAGGTGGGTAGCGTTTCACGTGTGATCACCGGGCCATGCAGCGGCGATCTGCGGCCTTGCGACCATTGGTCATCGCGCACGGGCGCGCGCGCGCGCGCGCAGGCGCGCGCGCATGCGGCATGCAAAGTGGGCCAAGCAGGGTCATCTCCGTTCCTTCACTGCCCTGTACTGCGTCATAAGCAGGGCCCAAGGAGCCGGCGGCGGTGTTGACAGCAGTGTCTTGGCCAGGCGGCGCGGGCGCCGACGAGCAGGGCAACAATGCCGCGCCCGCCGAGCAGCGGCCGGCCGAGCCCGCCGCCGGCGGCTCGCAGCGCAAGAGTGCAGGCGACGCGAGCGGCGCTCCGGCGCCGTGCCGGAGGAGGCGCAGCCACACCGGCGGCGGCGCCGCCGGCGGCAGCCCGCCGGCGCCCAAAGTCGACCATCTCGGGCTCATAGCAACCTACGACGAGCTCGGCGGCGGCGGCAGCGACTCCCCAGAGTCCCAGACGCCCCGGTCGCCGCATGACAACCCTGAGTGGCGCGCGCCATCCAGGTGCTCGGGGCAGAGGTTGCGGGTGCCGTGCGACGCGGTTGCATGGCGGTGCTGCGTGTTGACCCTCTGCGGCGACAAAGTCTTACCGCGAAAGCCGCAGCCCGCGCGCCGCATGCTGCAGCGCCCGCCGCCCCTGGCCTCTCGCACCCGGCGCTCCACCGTGCCGCGCCCCCACCCAACAAACCCCCCATGGCAGGAAGGAGTCTGGCGGGGCCGCGGGTGAGCCGCGGGCGCGGCCCGCGCGGCGGCCTGCGCAGCGCGCGCCCAGCGGGCTGCGCGCGTCGTTGATGCAGGACTCTATGACAGAGTCCACCCTCACGGGTACCTGCTCCAGCGGCAACGAGTCGCCGCGCAAGAGGTGCGGGGCCATGCGGGCGCGAACACAGCCCCTGTGCGCATGAGCCGGGGGGGCCGTGGCCGGCAGCCGGTGCCCGCGGCTAGCCGTCATGCATGCATGGGCGCAGTGCGCCGCCGCAGACGCGTGCTCAGAGCGCTCGGGGCAGATTCCGCCCTGTGTCGTGCGCACCCGCCGCACCCGGCCGCCGCGCCCGCCCCCGCGCCGCCGCTGCCGCAGGACGCCCAGCGGCAGCACCGTGGAGGAGGCCGGCGCGGTCGACAACACCAACAGCGCAAACAACAGCGCGGCAAACAACACCAGCGCCGGCAGCGCGGTGCACATGCGCGCCGTCGCGGGCGTCGTGGTCAGCGGCGACCAGGACAGCGTCCTCGGCTGGCGCACCCGCACCAACGGCGGCGGCAGCTGCTCGCTGGACGGCGCGTCGGACGTCGGCAACAGCCAGCTCGGCGCCGCGTCCGCGCGCGGCAGCTTCGACTCGCGGCGCCACATGAGCCTGCAGCAGCTGCAGAAGGCGATCAAGAGCATCATGCTTACGGATGGGGAGATGTATGCGAAGCTGCAGGCCGGGCTGCAGGGCATCGGCAGCCTCGCGCGGGAAACGACGCAGCTGACGGTCAACCGAGACGTGACCGGCGCGACGTGCATCAACCAGTACGTGGTGGTGAAGACGCTGGGGCGTGGGAGCTACGGGAAGGTGAAGCTGTGTTTGAACACGCTGGACGGACAGCTGTACGCGATCAAGGTGGGCGGTGGACGGGGGGCGGGGCGCGGGT